CTCTCGGGACGGTCGCATGGAATAGCACAGTTTTCAGCACTTTAGTCTCCTCAGCGAGCACACTTGACGAGCTAATCACTGTTGTTCTAAGGACGCAATTGTTCTCAAGAGCGATAGACATTTTGCCCGTTCAACAAGCATCGATTTAAAGCGCTGTGAAAACCCTAAAGATAACCGGGTCGATATCAACTTGAATAGGCGGTTGTTGAAAAAGGATCAATACGGCACTAAATATAACAAATTGAAGGAAGATGAGGACAAACTTTAAGTTTCACTTGCAAACGAACGACAATACAAAAATACACACAACCAGGAAAAAAACATAAGTTAGCCATGCAGTTCAGCTGTGAAAGCGAGGAATGCGTCAGTGGTAACAAAGCTATGATTTGGATCATCTACCAAGTGATGCTGAGGGGAAACGAAAACCTGACAAGTGGAGCAGCACATTATTCAAGAGCACAGTATCGACCAAACATATCAAAGATGCTCAGCCGAAACATAGGCATTACTAGTGCAGTTGTACTGCAGGCAGCAATTCCTGCAATTTTTAGACAGCATCCAGGTCAGATAACATCTTTGAGGGTGGGTCAAAATATAGTATCATCAGCGTTCCAGAGTATAATTTTGTCCAGTCGGTAGTAACAAGAAAACGCCCAGTTTGGAGGTAGTATGTAGAAATCTGGAGAGCCCGTTTTTTGTTTTCTGCCATCTGAATATCATTTACACACAAGTAGTCTAATACCACTGATTACTGATTGCCCGATTTTGATCACCGATCTCCACCCAAAAGATTTACCGTGAATTCTTCTCCAAGTGGCGTCTTGGTATAAAATTAGACTTCCTTAGCGGTGTTTTGAAACGGTAAAGGTCATGACGTATGCTAGTCTGGTTAATCTGAGAGAGACTATGCAAAATGGGTTAATCGCTCAATAAGGTTGCAATTGGAATGCGGGCATAATCCACTTTAGCGGTAATTTTCACAACCAGGCTCGCTGATTCGTGAGATTTTTCTGAGGTATGCAACCTTTTTTTGGATGAAGATATTGATGAAGCTTTGGCAGGTTTAAGGATAACGTTAGTGAATTCTAAAAGTAGAGCATGATGCTGTGAATGCAAAAAAATGGAAGGAACATAAATGATCAAATATCCCTCAGAAATACGGACTTACTGAAGCTAAAGCCAATCCATGGTAACACGCCTAGAAGTGCTACAGAACTATTCTATCCGTTTTGGAAAAGATTGGCAGTAAGCGCTTGACGACTGTTTTGGGTGACTCAAATCCGGAACCATGGAGTTACCACTATATCGTTAGGCTAGAGCTGATAGGTAAGCCCTTAGCGAAGACTTATGGCTAATAGCCTTTGATAGCCAATGCCTTTGATACTTTGCATTACAAAAACCTTTGTGTACTGAATTATCACTTGATGATATTTGAGGTGAACAGCCCACGTGATTTGTTAGGTAGACATTTGTTCACACACGCTTCGTTATTTGTCTCACATTCAGAGTTCCGCGGGAACACGAGCCTGACTGAAGCGGAACAATGTCGGCCGAAAAAGAATCCCTCCGGCTGAATCAAAGTCGAAATATCGACTGCTTCTCCGGGTCACTCCGCCATATAACTATCAGCTAGTGAACTTTTGTGTGCAAGCTGCAGGCAGATGTCAAAGAAGACATTTCAGTTAGCCTCATCTTAACCTGTCAGTAAATGTGTGCAGTGTACCGCTAGCACGGTTTAGAGTCACGTAATGAATGGGGACCGATCAGATTTTCTCATTACAATTCTAGTCATCTAAATTTAAAACGTACAACGGTGGCAAGAATCTATGTGCGTAATGTAGCCGGAACTGACGCCAATCACACCGATGTCCCAATGTTTTGTTCATTCTCCACGATGCATTTGCTTTTGACAAATTAGTTGTCATCACGTGACATTCTGACCAATCCATAATAAACTCCATCGTTGATCCATTCCGGCTGTATTCATTTGAATTTTCCGTTAGTCTTCCTTGGCTTCTCCGTGTATTTCGTCCGGTTACTTACTTACTGACGAGCTAGTTTTCACTAATGTATGCACATATATAGGAGACCAGGAAGTTCTGGAATTCAACTACCTCTTCAACGGCGTAAACAAGTAAAACAAAGGGGGTAAAATTTTTAATAACCTCACTGGCTGGCACAGGCTTGTTGAAGACGAAACGCAACACAAACGGACCAGATTTTTTTAGTTGAATGTAAGTTCAAAATGTCCGCCACAAACATAGTCAAATGTCATGGCGCTGATCTCCTCTGAACATTGGTCAGCAAATGAGTACATAAAAATTGCACGAATATTTACATACATAAAAGCCATCACACAATTATTTCGTTACAAATGCGCAACTAATCGGGAAGGATAGAGCAAAACGTCTTACCTTGGCCTCACAAAAACTGCAGTAAAGCATCCGTAAACACATGAAGTTTTATCGTCCAAGTGGAGAAAGCATGTGAGGTGTTGCTTAGTGTTCAACCTCCAACCAGAATACGACCCCAACATGGTAATATTTTGGAGTAAGTTAAAGATGTTTCTTGAGCGCAGAGCGAGGCGTAATGCTAGACTTGAAATAATTCGCAACTAAAGAAGATATTCACTTTTTACAAACTGTGAAGGCACATATGTAATGTAAACTAGTATACTTTTGTAAATTGCACTCTTGCAGCCAGCTAGCCAGTTTTCAAAACTTACCAAAAGTAACGTGAGCTTTAATCTACTTCTGGCCTTCTTTCTACGGTATCTGGAAAGAGGTCGTTTATACTTTCTTGACACTAAGCCATAATGGGCAGAGTAATGTGCACAGTGAAATATTTTGGAATCCCACAAATTTCAGCCTTGTACAAACACCATAATTTGATCACTGTAATGGACTTTTTATCTCACTTGTCTTCACCGTTTTAAAAAGTTTCGGATAATTAGGCAGTGGGTTCATACTATGGTATTCATTTCTGCAAACACGTTCAAGCAGTTGACTCATTGGTCCGAGGAACAATGTCTCCTCATCAACTGGAAAATGTCTGGGACCGATTGGGAAGTCATCGTTTCAGAGCTGTTTGGTAAACAGCACCCTTGGACGAACACAGGTGAACGAAATCTGTGAACGACCCCAAGAGGACTTTTCCATTAAGGTGTTCTAGACTGAAGAAGCTGGGACGAAAAAATCCGGGTTCATCATAAAGACGAACCCCCCCCCCTAACCGATCTATCGTAAAGCTTAGTCATCGCACTAATCAACAAACAGGGACATCAGACTGAACACCCAGCACTGATCACGTCACTAGTCATAAGGAATCTCACGGATTGGTTCCCTGACTGCCTTAAAACCCAATCAACCTACTTACTTACTCACTTGGCCTGACGAAGCTTTTGTGTCAAAAGCGAAACGTTGCCCAGCAATAAATCCACCGATTGTTTACCAAACCCCTCTGAAACAATGTCTCCTCATCTTTGGAAAACATCAACCATGCTACAGCTGTCCTCAGAAATACGTCGATCAGGTGTCTGGTAAAAATAGCCTTTCCTGTGCTGTATGTATTTGTTGCCATCGGACACGATCTTCGATCATGTAGTCCGAGATATGAAGTTGCAACCTCTGGTTTCTTCATGGTTTCTTCTTGCCAAATTAGATTACCTGGAATATTTGTTCAATAATTATCTGCGTTTCCCAAGTAGCTGCTTGAACTATGAAATTTCAGTACGATTTATGGTGGCTGGTCATTTTTTGGTTTCCTACTCTATTGTTAATAATGAACGGTAATTTATACCACGGTTGAGCTCTCACGGAGCTATTTCATTAATTTTGTTGTCTATTCATATTTTGGCCTAAAAATCATATACATGACCCTTTCAATTACCTATTTCGTGTTCATTCTATGTAATACGGCTATCCTTTTACTCTTTACAAAGCGAAAATTTTAATATTATCCAGAATTCATCAGTCAAGTGCTTGTGACCAAAAAGAAAGGCAGTATTCAGTTCGAGTCTAGCAGCTAATGGTCAATTACTCAAGCGAATGGCACATCTCAGAGTTTTGCGATATTAAATTATTAATTATCCGCTATTTTGATAACAACTAAAAATTGTGATAATGTACTAAATTTTTATATCAATGACTCCGAAACGCTCTTAGGAGGGTTAAATAACTATCTTCTTAAGTGCGCCGGTTTGTGCGAGGCCATTAAAACTCAAAGCAATCAGTGCTTCTAATCCTGCACAATCTTTTTCCAAACAGTTAACCATTCTCCACTCATTTATGATTATTGACGTTTTACGGCATTTCTTGCCTACCCGGCACATTGAGAATTCACCATTTATTATTAAGCTTGGGATTGGGTATAGCTAAGTTCTCATTCCCAAGGGATATTTTGTAACTGACTGGTTTCTGTTCCAACTATATGTTGCTAATCTAGGGTTTGGTTGCTAAAAACTTAACTCATACTTCTTGTAGGTGCTCTTGCGAATCGGACTGCTGTGATGCCAATTATGGCTGTTTCAGAGTGTCCGGCGAGATATGTGACAAAACAATACCGCCTCAGGTTTTTTGAATGGTATCAATCTATGCGTTATGCTTCAATCAACTGTTGTTTATGTTTTTCGATTTTTGACATCCCAACGGCCTTGCGTCAATTCTGTTTTCAAAATTAAACGGCGTGTTTATGCTTAATACCGCATGTTAGAAACAGTATATAGATTTTAGATTTTCAATAGAACTCGTGTATTAACTCTGTATGTTTATTCAGGTTTATTACTTTTATGCTATTCAGAAATCTCAACACTAACAAAAAGATGCACAGTTGTTCGTTATACATTTCAATCAACCAAACAACTGCTACATATGTGGAAGTGCTTTTCCACTGATGGCAACTTTGCTGTCTGTTTTACAGGTGTAAGTAATTGCCTGTTCTGGATAATCTGTCAAACAGACGAAAATAGCACTCGAGACTGGTAAAAAAGAAGGAGAACCGCGATGATTAAGTGCGAGGAACATCCGATGATCACTTGCGATGAAAGTGAGTGATGAAACTCACCAGTGCGCACGGCCGTACATAGCAGAAAACACATCTGTCCAGTGTGTTTGTGTGTAAGATTCGATTTCTCGGTGAGTGGAAAACTTCAGGACACCGGAAAATATGCTAATAAACTGAATGATTGAAGTGAGCGGGACATTTAGGCGGCAGTGAAAGCACCGAGGCTATGGATGCAGGGAGTTAAATCCTGTGTGTGATTTTCAGTTCATTTTGTTGTCAAAGATTTCTTCTGCAACCAGTTTCTGAGGCAATCAATATGCACATAAACTGGAACAAAAGCTGGAAACAGCAACATAATATTCAGTATATACCAAAAGAACAATTGTAAGATTTGTATTATGGTCCACTCCTTAGTATTACCAAATAGGCAACGCAATAGAAGAAGCAGAATAAGTCATTGAAACAATACGGATGACATACGTTTTTAGCAAGTCAGTCGTTCTAGGAGACATGGGAAGACTTTGAGTGCTTGTCGGTATCCCTCAAGTGACTATTCACTGTGAGACTGAACAATACATAGTAATCTTAACATCAGGAAAACCTGCGTACAGTGTATTAGTGTATGAAACAGGCAGAAATTCAGCGGCACAACCTGACGAGTGTTGTCAACGTAAACTGAGGCAATCGAGCTTTTTTGAAATATGTATCTAAATTAAAACAGTGAAATTCCATCGGAATTTCAACGAACCATCTCTCTCTTTTTCTTGTACCATAAAAGAGTCTGCTTGGACTTCTCTTGTCGATTTCTCGTGAAGAGCTTTATGTCTATCATTGCCAAGAATGTGACCAATGCTGTACCTCAGTCAGTAGCACATCTGCTGGTAACGTGTTATGCTTTCTGCTCATTTCACCTCTTATCCCAGGTGTTTGAATTCTCCGTGCGCATATTTAACTAAAAATGGCTATTTTCTATTCAAACCGGGTTGCAGATATTATTGCACTTTGCCACCAAACTTACTAGCCAGTGTCAACAAGGTTTTACATGAAATACTTGCAGGCTACCAAATCTGTCCGTGGGACCTGATTTTCTCTTGTCCAAATGAAAATGCGTATCTAGCAGACGTCGTTCAGTTGACTCTACAGTCAGATTTCTCCTGAGAATCACGCAATCGCGCTGACTGAGTCAACACGTCGTAGAAATCCATTAAAAAAGGGTGCCGGCGATAGGCGAAATAAAGGACTGCTAGACCTTGTTCCACGACATTGTCTTTTGACGCAAAAAATTTCCACAGATAAATGGTCAGCTGAACGACGGAACACGAAAAACAACAGTTTAAAGAACCTTCTGATTAGTTTTAGTGAAAAATACGTTAGAAATTTTTGTTTTGTTTCGATCCACGTTTGATAGCTTGACCATTTATTTGTTTTCAGTATTGGCTACAAATATCAGTAGTACAAACCGACATAAAGGGGTCCTCTTGCAAGAAAACATCACGAAACATATAGACAGCGCAGAATCCGACCGTTACAACCAAAACCAACAAAGGAGTTGGCAAATTGATGTTGAGTAGAACAGACTGTTAGATGAATCAAATTCATCTTGGACGACAACACGGCGTTGTTTGTTGAAAAATGAGAAGGATAATGTCAGCATGATGTTAAGGTAGCTGAGATCCGCTTTAATGAACGAAAGAACAACAGTCTCACCAGGGCGTAACGGCTCGGGCTGCTTCAGAGTACGAACCAGTTATATCCAGTAGTGATATGCACAACTCTCTATATCCCAAAAAAGCCAAGCTGTCTTGTGACGTTCTTGGTGGTAAAACAGCTTCCATAAAATCTATTTTTCAAATACAAATATTTTGGAAGTTACAACAAAAACATGTCGTCCCTAAATGTAACGTTGGTACACAGATTATGTCGCTAAACCTCGTCAGATGCCTGAGAATGTATGAAAATTCCCTAGTTCACTCTGTGAATGTACAGGTTCTTTCTGAACAGGAGAGACCCGCTGCGCACAGTGGGAATGGGTTTCAGACTCCAATGCACTACTCTCTGCACTTGGCCTAGTTTGGATCCAAACTGTTTTGTGGAAAAGATTTCGAGGTCAAAGGCTCTGTCTTGAGTGCCAAAAAGCAAACAATTTCCTAGACGCGTGACGCTGACGTCTTCTGTGAGTAGGACGCACAACTTAAGAACTGTTGTGGATAAGGAGAGCAGTGACAGACCTAATAATCTAGAGGACTTTCTTGCGAAAGAACTCAAACACTGCATGAGAGACATATACGATTCCGTGAGATTCTGATGGATGACCATGAAAGGCTACTGGAGTCTGGCTCTTGAAATAAGTTTATACTGCACGGAAGCTTTGAAGAAGAAGAATAAACATATCCTTCTACTATAGGGATCTTATCCTCAGAAGTATGAATTTTCAACGTGCTGCCGTCATTCATCTATATAATGATATTAACTTATTTACTTCCTTTTTTACTTACTTATTTATATTCATCTATACTGTTGAACCAGTTTAAAAGCAGCTGTTGGGAAAATGACCAGAGAACAAAAAAGTCGTTTGAATTTATCACTTAGATACAGACATCTGTTTTCATATTCGCACATCCCTCATACAAAGATAAGAATAAGTCAATCTCAGATATCTCCAACTATAATACGACTCTACACAACTGGATCATTAAGCAAACACATTTCATTTATGGACCAGATTTAGGTTTATTGCTATCCTGCTTACTCGAACGTAGATTATAGTGCCGATGAGTAAACAAGCCAGCAGTTCAATAGTAGGGGCACTAATGCATCACTGTAGGGTATTTTGTTTGATTTGTTATTCCCTCCAAACCCATTTTAGGAGACTTCTTAACACCACGGCAAAACAACGTGGGAAACATGGGCGTGGGATAGTCTTATGGTTATTCATAGGATAAAGTCCAAATATATATATGTACATTTTACATGAACTTGAAAGTACTGCAAAAAACTGAGACAAATTTGGTAAGATGACGCACTGTTTTGGGTATCACCTGAGACTTAAATGATTTCCCTCACAAACTTCCTAGTGATACTGTTCAGTTCATGAAACCTATCTTTAATTTAAAACTCTATGTCTTGTTTGTCTGCACCCATTTATCAGCCCGGTAAAGAGCCTGGAATTCTTTCATTAGAAATCCAAATACAGTGCGTTTATTCCTACCATACTGCGTAATTTATACACCAATATCTTGCTCACTGGAACACACCAGATCTTCTTTACCCACTTTTAGTCACTAGGCATACTTTTCAAATACTGGAACAAACCTCTACATGGTGACCATTGCAGATCGCTTTATTTAAAAGTGGGCCAATTATTCTGGTATGCTTGTTGAATACCATAAGTTCTGTTACCTTTGTAAACGGATTGAGTAAGACATTCCAGTTACCATAGATTTGCTGGCATTATACAATTCCCAATATTACCTATACTAACTGACTTACAGACGAGTTGTTTTAAGATTCTAAAGATAAAGTTGCAACAAACTTTCAGCCTGTTGTGCTACAAAGACGTAATTGCATGCATTGTAGACAAAAACGAAAGAATTTCGGTACCCCTATCTAGAATATTTCCTCAGAACTCTCGTTGTATACCTGTAGGAAACGGAATAAGTACTCAGTCTAACGTTTGTTCTAAACTTCAAAATAGATCACCTGTTGATTATAATTCCTTTCAATCCTTGAATTTGGCAGTATCACAGAATGATGTGGAATTACATTTTCTTCATTGGTAATTATATCTAAGCGCTTATGTGTGTTGGAACTCTTTTTCACAAGAGGCCGCATCTCCCGGAGTGGGCATTTGCAATACTCCTTGCACGCTTTGCACGTGGAGAGTGTTTGATATATCTCTCGAGGTGCTTGCCTTGTTTTCGGGTTTCTGAACAGGATCTGAATGCAGCGTGCGACCGATGAGCTTGCACTCTAAGAACGTAGGTCATCCTAGAGTATCTGTTTAGAGGCAGCACTCTGATCTTCTGTTTTTTGGAGTTTCCATTCTTGTTTGCTCACGACGTGATTGCAAATGAAGATTTTTGTGTCCACGAGTACAAACCCTGGGGTTATGATTTTTATTGACGTTCCGTAGAGGTGGGTGACGATAACTGAGCGTCCAAATGCATTGCAAAAGTGTTAGATTGCTTAAGCTGATTCGTACATGCCCACAAGCACGCATTTATTTTATGCCTTATTCCAAAATAATTTTGAAAATTGCCGTGCACCAACAAGAAACTCTTAAAGAGAAAAGAACTTAAGTTGCATACTCCAGTCGCTCCTGAACTGACTATTCTTTACGCTTTTATGGACGTTCTTTTTTTCCGGCTAAAATCATCGGAATTCAAATAGCTTATATCCACTCAAAGTTTTTACACCTGAGAGTGAAAGTACTGGCATTATCTGTGTCCGTGTTTTTATTCTGCACTGAAAACATCCAAAATAATCATCATGAAGCACTCCTAAACTCTGAAAGGCACGGACCTCGCTCTGTACAAATGCCTCAAAATAAACACATACATTCGTGAATCGTCATAAATCGTCTTATTTGGGACAAATTTTGACATTCATCGGCGGAAGCCCAATTAACCGATCACAGATGCACTATTCGAAGGATTATTGATCATACCCTTTCGTTGGTGCTGGTGTTTACTGACGGATTTGATAAATTCAAAGATGATTTTTATGCTGTCATCTTTAGCGACATAGTCCTGGCACCATGATGGCTCAATCAACCTGAAACACCAAAAGTTTCGCAAGAACTACGCAAGTGTTCCCATGTGATTTTATACCATCCAGATAAGATTATGAAAATAGGACTGCTCAAGGAAACTGACTGTATCGACAAATTGTCCTTAGTAATTTTAGCCGGGGCTACATTCATTAAAGCCAGCACCCAACCACCTTAACGTCAAAAACGATCGAAGGATAATGGTCTTATAAGGAGACCTCAGTGGATGCTTCATGTTCGCATTTACTTCTGATATCCTTGTGGCATACATGAG